TTTTTTTTTTTTTTTTGGTATTTGTAAGAAGATTGTAAAATTTATGTTTGGTGAATGGTTGTTAACTAATAAAGAAAAGAGGGACGAAATTGTCTTCCGTCCCATAAGATGGGACAATAGATTCTAATTTAGGTTCCACACAGGAAAAGTCCAACCAGGATGTAGAATTAAAATTGGAAATATATAATGATACATCAATCATAGAAGGAGGATCCGAGAAATGCAAAGGGAAAAAAAAAATATACACGAATACACGAAATACAATAAGGTACAGATGTACAAGGTTGTACGATCTCTCATCTAAATATATTTATTTATCTTTAAAAGAATAACAACCGCAAAAAAAAAAAAATAAAGGTAAAGATAATAGTCGGTCACTTGGGGATAACAATCAGATCAACCAAGGTCGTCTCCGTTTTTGATCGTTATCATCGGTCTCGTTTGGAGCGTTCGAAACTCCAAGAGCTTTGAGACGTTCCTTTTCTTTTTCCTCACTTTGAACGAATTCAGCTGCCGTGGCAAGAATATCAATCGCGGATTTTGTGCCCGAAGGAACGGGCATCGCCATGGTTGTTAAGGCTTCGGCGGTGTTTTGAGTGTAGGGTTGAGATTGATTGTATGCGGAGGGTAACATGTGCGACGGGGCCTGATGATATATGTCTGTATTACCAATGATATCCTTGATAGGGGGAACAACCGGGGGGAGAGTACAAGAGTTGATGCTTGGCAACGCGTAATGAGAAGAGATCGGATGGGGCAAGATAGGCGTGGAAGGTGAGGACGGTGAGACCGGTGAAGGTGGCACCGTGTGAGAGTGAGCATGGGCGTGGTTACCGTAGACATGATGTGAAGCATGAAGCGATTGGTCTTGAGGTGCGAAGGGCATGATCTTGAGCTGTGGCACCATCGTTTTTGACGAAGAACAATGTGATGTCATTGATGCGCCCGTGACAGTTGAGGCTCGTGGTCTGGTGAAGGGATGGTTTTGTGCAGCCTTTTTCTGGGTGTTCATACTAGAGGTGGGTGGATGAACATAAGAATGTCTACGATTACTGCGTCCCTTAGCAGGGCCACCATTTGACGGACCGCCGTTGGTAAACATCGGAACGAATGTAAAGTTCCCAGGGTTGATCATACCGATGGAAGAAGCGTGACCGCTGGCAGCTTGAGAAGTTGGCACCGAATGATGATGTAGGAATCTGTGATGCTGATGAGAAGTATTGTGTTCATTCTGCTTTGCACGATTTGCTTTTGCACGTCGATTTTGGAACCAAACCTAGATTGGATTCATTTGACGAGTGAATAAAAGATGAAGCATATCGAATTTGCGACGCAGCTGAGAGAATAACGATCAGCGGTACGAAAAGGTTACCTGAACTTCACGATTGGTCATGTTTAATTTCTTTGCCAATTTCTCGCGCACATCATAACTTGGAGTGTCAGTTTGTTCAAACATTGCAACTAAATCAGCCAATTGTTCTTGAGTGATTCGCTTGCGTTTAACCTTTGGAGGCATCGTCTGTTGATTAGATTGTTCGGTTGCATTTGAAGGAAATTGAAAATTGGTCTTTGTCGGAGATTTCACACCAGGAGTCTGAGGCGGCGTGATCATGTTGTTAATGGAAGCCTGATCAGATGCGGAAGATCGATTCATCGAAGAGCGACGAGTTGAAGGCAAGGAGGATGAAGTCGATCTTGACGAACCATTTCCCGCATAGGGATTTTTTGAATTTGGAGAAACGGGAGATGAAAGCGAATCTGAGTCGGGAGGGGGAACGATATTTGATATTTGATCATTACGACAGTTAGTGATGGTCAAGCCACTATTTTCACGGAACATGACATGCGATTCTGATGAAAAGGTTTTTGCCCGGAGTGACACTTCTGGCGTTGACCAAAGTTATCATAATTACCATAGGAATCATGATTATTCGTTTGCACCGTGTTCTGTATAGATCCTCGATTTTCTTCAGGTTCCGGGTTCAACAAAGCAGATATGGAGGCCATCGAAGCTTTACGAGCGGTATTCGGTGATCGCATGGAGGACGAGGTGGAAGAAGAGTATTGATCATAAACGTTTGTCATCGTGATCATCTGTTACATGTAAAGTTTTTTTTTTTATATTGTTCAGAGAGGTTAGACAAGGAAAATGATGACCAAGATTTTTTCAACAGGTCGTTGCTCTCCAGAGGTGTTGTCGTTTGTCGGTCATTAATATATAATAGATGAAACATACGTATCAAAAATTTTCAGTGATACACACGCGCAGTTGTTGCACAAGGAAACCTTTTTCCTTGTGCAGATACTGCAAAAGCACCATTCTGAACAAACACCACAGTATCAAAGTAGGTCAAACATATGTAGGATTCAGATATGATAAGCAAAGGACAAGTGTTCCTATTTTATTCCTTCACGAAAGTTCGACGGACGTTTGGTGCACAGAAAGAGGTGTCAAGAATGTGAAATATTACTTACAAGCTCGAAAGTGTTCGTTTTCGGTGGATAATGTAAAGTTGTTGTTGCGAAGAAAGAAACCTCGACTAGACGCTTTTTATGTTGTTTTTTATTTTTTATATATTTTTTTTATTTTTATATAATTTTTTATTTTTACCTTTGAGTTTGAAATGGGGAACCTTCTTAAATAAACAGAAAGGCTTCAAAGATGTCAAAGAGAAGATAAACTTTGAGAGAGAAATGTATTTAGAGTTGTGGAGGTCGGAGCCGGACGACGAAGTAAAAAAAGAAAAAGGATTTAAAACAAAGGTTTAAGATATTTTTAGGGTGTGTGTAAAGCCTGGGCGCACAAGACTAACAATAATATATCAATAAATCAAACGGGCTCAGTTTTTACGTTTACAACGGAACACAGACACATTTAAAAAAAAAAAAAAAAAAAAAAATTTTTTTTTTTTTTGTTCTCGAACAGGAAAAGGTTATAGAAGGGGAGAAAAAGAGGGCAGGGGGCTTTTTTTAGTAAATGGGTGTGAGATGTTGGTTTAGGGTCTACACATGTAGTGCAACAATAAATAAAGAAAGGGAAATTGAATAAATCTTCCTAATCGGCAAAATGAGGAAAATGAATTTTAATATAAATATCATAATTGATAAAATCAAATATGTAATTTAATTTATAATAAATAATTACTAAATAATGTCTCATAATAATGATATTTGATACGGAAAATGATGATAATATCTGATGGTGATTTCTTACAGTAAGTTTGATTTAGTGTCAATTTTATTAGTTATATGTTGATTCTTGTGTGTCGGGAATTGGGCGTTTCTGGCACATCAATACCGGATATGGTCTTTTATTTGTAGTTTTTTTACCATTCATCCTTTCCTTTAGACTCTGATAGTACTCTGATTTTGGCTTTGCTCTCTAATTTGCATGAATTTAGGACGAGCCTTTAGGGCTTAGTCTGAATGCTTAGTATTCGATAATGCCTTATTGGTGTGTATTGAACTATATTTACTTTAGTTTTTTTTTTGTTCCTCTCTGTATCACCATCGTTTGATTTGTCATTTCCTGATTTTTAATAAATTTACCATCCAATTTACTTAACGTTAATTGTTAATCTTTATTCGGCTTTTAGCATCTTTGGATTTATACTTTTTTGGAACACTTTTATTATGTGTTTGTATATATCTCAGACAGAGGTGTTACAATGGTTACATTGTCCCGGTCAGGCCCTGTGAACTTTCGACGTTCCTTCTGAACTTCTCTGTTCTCCGTTCGTCGTTTTTTCCAAGGTCCCCCCATTTGTCCCCTCAATTTCCCAACATTCCGGAAATTTGGTATTATTTAATTTATTTCCTCATTTGTTTTTTAACATCTCTGTGTAGTATTTCCTATTGAGCATTGTCGTTTGATTTCCTACGTAAGCCCTATTGTGTAACTCTATTTTAAAACTTTCTAATTAAATATTTTCTCCGTTTGTATCAACATCACCAGATTGATTGAGAGTTTAAATCAACCTTTACGTGGTACGTACGTACGTACTTAAATTTTATTTGCTATAACCAGTCAACCAGTAATGTACGTAGGTGCCACCGACTAATGAGTTTCCGGAATGCTCATTGCCCACTCCGTATTAAAGTGTGTCAAATGTTCACGCTAATCTCTATCAGGCTCTCGATAAATTCAGATCGATCTCTGATTGGACATCCCATTTATATTGTGGTTTCGCTTTAAGATAAATCAAGTAATTCACATCTTACTTTGGAATCTCATATGATGTTAAATTTAAATTAAATTAAATATTACTAATTATTTAAAAAAGCCATTACACGAAAGTGTGACGCATTACCTGAATTTACAATGGATTTACTTTTTTATCAAATTCAATAAATCCACTAAATTCATGCAACCTTCTCATAATTATTGATAGGTCAAATTGGTGATCTGGTCAGCAGGAAAAATCAAACAAAGGAATAATAAACAATGCACAAAAACATCCTTCACTTATTTTGCCTTCTGTCACCCACTCGAATCATTCAATGACGGCACCCCAAAAATTTCTACGATCACGGATTCTGCTTAAACTTTCCGTGAACGTTGATAATTATAGTAATTGGCTTATTAATTGGATTGTTAATTGGAACACAGATTTCACAAGTTTTGCTGGGATTAATTAATTAATTAAACTCTTAAAGTAATCTTATCGAAAAATAAAAAGGGTTAATCCATTGATTCCGCAATAAAATCATACCTCCAATCTCCTTATCTAAAATTACGTAAATATGCATATTCAAAACGTTCTTGGGATTTTGAACCACCATGTTTTTTTATTGTTTCGTATTTATCAATGAGATGATAAGTTTGGCATTTTCTTGCTTTTTTTGAAATAAACAATTCCTCTCGTGTGTTTTCCTTCGCGCAAAACACACAAGTTTCCAAGATTTTTTCACAATCCATCCATTGTACGCGGATGTCAAGATAACTCGATTTATCATAAACATTTAACAAACAATAGATTTATTTATTTAAAATTGGAAATATAAAATCATGATACACAAATCCTTTTTTATGAATGAAAACGAAAACTGATGTCGGCAGAGATCAAAAATTTCATTTAAAAAATGGAAAATCCAATCTGCTATTAAAAAAAAAGTTTGTCATTGATACATTGATACGTACGTATATTTTCCATGAGCATGATACATTTGTTTAAATAATCGAATTTATAATACGATAAACATTGATGTTATATAATAAAATATAATTTTATAAAAATAATAATACAGTGCAGTCTATTTTTAAAAAATTTATTAAATTATTTTATAAAGATTCAAAAACAATCATATACGTATCTATATTAACATACTGTATATACGTAATTATTTAATAAATGTTTATTGCTTTTATTAATATTCGAAATTATATAGCCAATATTATATTGTATATTACTTTTATATTTATTAAATTATATATTGTATATAATTGTTAATTTAAAAAAAAAATTTTTTTTAAAAAAACTTTATCTATTTATCCCGATTTTTTGAAAAGATTCTGTTATAATAAATTTTATTGAAGAAATATTTTCTATTCTTTTTGTATATATACCATATCATATAAGTTATAAGCTTAAAAATATAAGAATTTTAAAAATTATTGTTGCATTGAAATAAAGTATCTGATTACAAAATTAAACAAATTTGAAAATTTTATTAAATTTTTTGCTTGTCTTAATCAAATATTTTTAATTACTTTTTAATTAATATTTTTTAATTAATTAATTAATTAATTGAGTCTTATCTAATATATTCTATCAAATTATTTAATTTACATACATATTTCTTGTTACAAGATCTATTGTTTATAAACTATTTTAAATATATATATATATTAACTAATATTGAATTATTTTTATATTGATTTGTTACTATTAATTCAATTTTAAAGATATTAAATTAAAAATAAATATAATAAAACATTGTTAATAATATTATTATATCTTTATAATTTTATTTTTAACTATAGAATTAAATAAAAAAATTAAAAATAATATTTATATTTATTAAACAAAACTTTATAAAAATTATTTTTACATCCATGTTATTTATAATTAAATATATTATTTAATTATTATTTTTTTTAAAACTATTAAAAATATTCAAAAAAACTTATATTATAATTTGACTGTTTATCAATAAAATAAATAGAATGATAGGTATCAATTAATAACAACTTAAATATACAGTATATCAATTATAATTCATTTTACTAATTATTATCAATCTAAATATAAATTGATATACTGTATATCAATATTTATTAATTTTGATTTAAAATTTTCAAATTTAATATAAATTATAATTTTTATGATATATATAATAATTAAATTAAAAGTGATTTTTTTTTTATTAAAAGCAAATTTATTTATTATAAATAATATAGCAAATTTTTATATATTATATTCAAATCTAATTTTTAATATTTTTTATAATATCAAATAATGTATCTTGTTTATATTATAAAAGTAACATTAAATTATTTCACTATATTTTATTTGATTTTGTTTATTTTTGTTTTTATTCTATTAATTTTTGTAATTGCTTCTAATTTAATATATTTTCTAATTTATTATTCAAAATTTTTTCAATCAAATTTAAAGAAGAATTACTATTAAAATCTTTCTATTTAATAAATATATTAAAAATCATATTAAAAAATTATAATATTATAATTAATTACTTACAAAAAAATACTTAATATATATTATTTTATCAACTTTTTAGAACAAATAATACTTTTAAATTAAAAATTCAAAAAAATATCACATATAGCAAAAATAAATATACAATGTTTTAAATTAGAAACAGATATTTCAAAAAAAAAAAATTATTCTTATGATTATAATTATTTAATAAATAACTTTATTATTTAATTGAAAAAGTAAACAATAATATTTAAATACTTTTACAAACTTTTTTTATGTTATGATAGCAGTTAATGAAACATTGCTTTTTAAAAAATATAATTATTTTGAATCAAAAATTTGTCGCATTTCCATTTTAATGTTTTGTAATATCATATTTTAGTAATTTTTCATTTTTGTCAAAAATTTTTGTTTTAATTAAGT